GGAAGAGCCCCGTTGTACGACAACCGTCTGAGAATCCTCAACCGTGCCAAAGCAGCATCCCTTGGGTTTCAACGCCGCGGATCAACGTGACTGGGGCGTCCTGACAATCCTTAATCGTGCCAGAACATAATGCCTGATATTGCAACGCCGCGAATCAACGTGACTGTTGCGTCATGTCAGTCTTAACACGTTCCAAAATGCAGTTCCTGCGATTTCAGCCCTTATTTGGATCTGTTGTGCACGTTTGAGACGACCGCCCTCCATCTGTGATCGAGCTTCAATCTTTTAAGACGAATGTGCGCGTTGTTACAGCGAAACAAACATTGAAGAAACGGCCCGCCATCCATTTGTGAAACTGTTGCGAACTCTTAAGACGAATGTTCGCGGCGCCAAGGCGAGATCCACAGTTCGAAAACCACCCGCCTCCGTCCGTGAACCGGTTGCAACTCCCGGCCCGCACTACCGACGCTTCTGGGGGTGCGACAGAGAGGAACTATTCACCAGTAAATAGGATGGAGGATGCGGGAAAGGAGTAGGAGGAGGAGGAGGAGGAGGAGGAAGAGGAGGAGGAGGAGGAGGAGGAGGAGGAGAAGGAGGAGGAGGAGGGGGAGGAGGAGGAGGAGGAGGAGGAGGAGGAGGAGGGGGGAGGAGGGAGGGAGGAGGAGGAGGAGGAGGGAGGAGGAGGGGAGGGAGGAGGAGAGGAGGAGGAGGAGTTGGAGGAGGAGAAGGAGGAGGAGGAGGAGGAAGAGGAGGAGGAGGAGGAGGAGGAGGAGGCGGAGGAGGAGGAGGAGGGAGGAGGAGGAGGAGGGAGGAGGAGGAGGAGGAGGAGGAGGAGGAGGCGCGAGCTGCAGGCCTTCTCACCCCGCCCTTCCGCGGCCGTTCCCCCCTGCCTCCGTGAGCCCCCTCGAAGTGGTAGCCAGCTTCTCCGACAGCGGGTCTTCTTCCTCGTCCTCCGTCCGCAGCGCCGCTCAACGATGTGCCAAACCTCGCAGGGTGGGCGTTTCCCAAGTCCTTTCTGCGGTGTAGATCCTCAGCACGCCTTTTTCTCCGTCGTCGTCGTTGTCGTCGTCGGGGTCGTCAGCGTCGGCGTCGTGGTCGGCGTCGTGGTCGTGGTCGTGGTGCGTGTTGCTCTGCTGGTGACTTGCTTTCCGACTGCAGAGGCGAACGCCACCACCGTCCTCCATCGCCCGCGCGAGGCCAGGACATTCGATCTAGCGCCCCCCCCCCCCTCCCCCCCTGCGCGCACCCGAAGTCCTCCCCGTTACCACAACTGGGACGACGACCACGAGGACTGCGAGCGGCCTAGCTCGCTCCGCTTGGGGGGGGAGGCAGCGGATCGGGGCGCCGCGGGGTGGGGGGGTGGGGCGGGGGAGGGGAGAGGAGGAAGTCAATAAGGTGGAGGAGGAGGAGGACGAGGACAATGAGGAGGAGGAGGAGGTGGCAGAGGAGGAGGAGGAGGGGGAGGAGAAGGAGGAGGAGAAGGAGGAGGATTAATAATGATGATCGTGATGCTGCTGCTGCTGCTGATGATGATGACGACGATGATGAATTTGATGATGCTGAGGGGTGATGATGATAGTGATGATGCTGATGATGACGATTATGATGATGGTGGTGCTGGTGATGATGATAGTGAGGAGTACGGTGTTGCTGTTGGTGGTGATGGTGAGGATGCTGCTAATGATGATGATGATGATGATGAATATGATGATGATGATGCTGATGATGATGATGATGATGATGCTGATGATGATGATGATGATGATGATGATGATGATGATGATGATGATGATGATGATGATGATGATGCTGATGAGGATGATGATGATGCTGATGCTGATGCTGATGAGGATGATGATGCTGATGATGCCCATGCTGCTGATGCTGATGCGGATGACGATGATGACGGTGATGATGCTGATGCTGATGATGGTGCTGATGCTGCTGATGATGTTGATGCTGCTGACGATGCTAATGACGACGATTATGTTGAAGATGCTGCTTATGACGCTGATGTTGCTGATGATGGTGCTGACGACGATGATGATGCTGATGCTGATGATGCTTATGCTGATGATGATGCTGATGATGATGATGATGATGGTGCTGCTGGTGGTGCTGCTGATGATGATGATGCTGATGCTGATGCTGATGATGATAATGTTGGTGTTGATAATGATGATCTGATGATGTCGGTGATTATGCTTATGATTATGCTGATGATGATGCTGATGCCGATGATGGTGGGATTGATGATGATACTGATGATGACGAGGAGGAGGAGGGGAAGGAAGAGGTGGATGAGCAGGGGGAGGAGAACAAGGAGGAGAGGGGTGAGGATGATGACGACGACGACGATGATGATGATGATGATGATGATGATGATGATGATGATGATGATGATGATGATGATGATGATGATGATGATGATGATGATGATGATCATGATGATGCTGCTGATGATGATGAGGAGGAGGATGATGATGCTGATGATGAGGAGGAGGAGGAGGAGCAGGAGGAGGAAGAGCAGGAGGAGGAGGAGGAGGAGGATCGAGCAGTCCGTAGCCATTTCGGCTCCAGGGGCCTTCTCCTTAACTTCCCAACCCCGGCTGAAGAGCGAAAAGGTCTGGCCGCTCGCGGCCGTGCCGAGGACCCGCCGCCATAGCCGCGGGCGCTCAGGACCGAGGTACATGGGAAATGGGCATGGCCGTGAATCCCAGTGGGGTCCAGAATCAAAAACTTGCCCCACAGTGCGGCCACTGGCTGCAAAGGAAACACCGAGCATTCGAAGTTCTGTTATCACTGTGGTGCTCAGCTTACTCGCCCTCCATCCCTCATAGCAGCGAAGCATACGGGAAGGAATTCGCTCCTTGGCATCAGTGGTACTGATCGGCAGGGGAAAAGGGGCATCGTGCGGATCGAGAGTCGCCTGGACATTGGGAGAGTGACCAAGGCCAGCCAAACAGTGGGGGGAAAGGTGGTTACGGGAATGGTGTAGGGCGTGGCGACCGTCCCAACCCGTCCGACCACGACCTTCTCCGCCGTCTGGTCCAGAAGGCCAGCGGTGGGACAGGATCATTGAATGACGTCGCTGCAGGTTTCACTGACCGAGCTCGGTCCTGTCAGAAGGCCAGCAAGAACAGGCGCCGACATCTACCACCCTTTAGACATTCGGGAAGGAGGTTAACAAACACGAGACATACATGGAACCCATCCAGAATTATACATTGGAAGACGAAGCAGTGGTTACAGAGTATCTGGAGTGGTGGTCTGAGCTGGGCCCACGACGGCGACGCGACGGCGGGGGCCCACATCAGGGTGACCACGCAAGTGGCGCGCGAGCTTGCAGCCATGCGGCAGGCGTCTCGCCTCGGACGGATCTTTGGTCCAGGTCTGCGGCAAGCCCGAGTGATGAGGGCGAGGCCGACGGCGAAAGTCCTCTGGGGCTCGGCGACCATTGGGGTGCCGCCTGGCCGAATGCGGGTCTTGAGGGTGGCGGCGGCCAAGAGTGCAGCTCGGCTGGCCCCAGGAACAGCGCTCAGCTTCGCGCTGCAGTGCTCCTCAGGCGGCTGGCGCCAGGGCCCCCTGGTCATCGCGAGACATGGCAGCGCAGGCCTTCGCCAGCGCGACATGGACCCGCCAGGCCTGGCCAGCTACGGTCGAGGCTTGCTTGGCGTCCTGCCTCAGGCTCCAGCGCAGCCAGAGGCCATGGGCTGCGGTGAGAGACCCTGTGGCGGCGCTGGTGCTCACGCTGGAGCGCATCGGCTGGCAGCTCACGCAGGACGGCCTCCGCATCAAGGACGAGCTGGGCGTGGAGTTCGACGCGCGGTGCTGGTCGCCCGCCTTCCTGGCGGAGCGCCCCCGCGAAGCGACCAGGAGGGCTGCCGCCTTGGAGGGGCGCCGTGCGCGCGCCGAGGAGCTGCTGGGCATGGAGGCCACGGAGACCTGGGCCCGCCATCGCAAGGGCTGCCTGCGCTGGCTGGTGTCGCCGCCCCGCTGGCCCCAGGCCAGGCTCGCCAGGCGCATGATTGACATCGGCCCCGCGTGCCTCCTGTGCCAGGGAGGAGCAGGAACGATGTTCCACAGACACTTCGAGTGCCCAGCCTGGCAAGCATAGGGACGGGATCGGTTTCCAGCAGACCTGCTACAGGGAGCCAGCGTGGCACGCGACCTCGAGGATTTGTTCGGTGAGCTGTTTGCCCAGGGCCTTTCCGTCGACGCGGCCTACGCAGTCTGCGCGGGAAGGCGAGGGCTATGCGGCAGTCGTCGCGTTGAAGGGCATCATCGGGGCCTGCGAGATCCCCAGCGACTGCAAGGGGGCCGTGGACTTCACCAGAGACCTGCAACGGGCTCACATCGCTCCACGCCCATCTGTGGGCTCGGGTCGGCGACGCGATCGATGGGGGCCACGGCGAGGCGCATCCCTGCCCGCACTTCGGAGGAGGCGGTCGAAGGAGCGCGACGGGAACCGCCTTGCCGACCAGAGAGCCAAGCTCGGTGCAGGGTTACATGCTGTTGGCGATGATGGTATACTGCTGCTTGAGGGCCTCGCGGCCCGAGCCCGAGATGCGGCCGTGTATGCGACGGAGATGGAGGTCCGCATCGCCGATCGCGGGGCCAGGGCTTGCCGGTCTACGTCGCCGCTCGAGGACCTCGATTTCGGCGTGCCCGAGTGGGGGGCCAGCGAGACCAGCACTGCGGCAGGGGGCTCCCCAAGTGCGGCGTCAGCAGCGGTGCTCGCGGCTTCGGCAGCGGTGCCGGCCTCGAGCGCGGTGGAGCGTGGAGACGCCCTGCCCGCGCGGAAGCGGCCTGCGGCTGCTGCGTCGGCAGGCGCCAGCGGCCAGGGCTTGGCCAGCAGCCCAGCCGTCGCAGCGCCAGCAGCCGATCGGCACGTGGCGCGACGGATCCAGGGTCCACCAGCGGCTGGCGGCAACGCGGTCTTCGGACTGCCGCCGCCGCCTAGTGGGGGGCCGTGGCAGTTCCGAGGACACCGGCTGATG